TCTCTCTCTCTCTCTCCCTCTCTCTCTCTCTGTTGCCGAGCGCGAGACTCGCGGTAGACCGGAAATCGCGCGTACGGCCGCACGGCCTGTCATCTTCGGCCGGCGGACTGATTACGTGTGCCGTCTCGTCGTTGTCGTCGTCGTCGTCGTCGTCAAGCGCGCGAATCGGTTAGTGGTTCGGTCGTTTCGCGATACGTTACTGGCCCCCGGCGGTCTGGCACGGAGGAACGAGAGAAAGCCTCGTCGGGTGTGCGTGAGGGCAGTGATCTCTCTCGGAGAGCGGCGACCTGACGACGGTACGAGCGGAACCGACGGTGCCCGATAGAATATATATATATATATACATATATATGTATATATATATGGAGATGCGTTGACGACACTCTCCTCCCTCGGCCCTGCAACTACCACCGGACTGCTCGCGGATTTGCCCTGCGGATTTGGAAGCGACGTGTCCCGCCGTCGAGACGGAACGTTCCCGAGGAGCGCGAGGTAAAGGAAATTGAGTCTGCGAAAGCGAGCCTGGGGTCGGGCGGCGCCGATCGCGAAAGCGCGCTCGGGATTTAATGAAATTGCGAGTTAGGGGGCGACGCGACTCCGCAGATCGGCGATCGCGCGGGGGCTCGCGCGAGCGGCGGCCGAGACTTTGACGGATTTCCGTCCCGAATCCCGTTAAGACCGCGACTTAAGTTACCGATCTCGCTAATTCGATTTCCCTCCCCTCCCCCTCTCTCTCTCTCTCTATCTATCTGTCTATCTGTCTCCCCCCCCCCCCGTCTCTCTCTGGTCTTACTAATTCGAATTAATCGCATCCGCTTTCCGCGTTATCCCGGAAACCCAGGCAGCGGAGCTGACGTTATTCGTCGTCATTTTGTAGGATTTGCGAGGCAGAGCGGAAGGGGTGTATTTGTTTTCTCTAATCGCGAAGGGCTGCGATCTGAAATCTTGGCATCAATTCTGCATCTTATAATACAGTGAAAATGCCAAAAGCGAGCGGCTTTGTCTCTTTCCGAGGGGACAATTATTAGAAAGGGACAGAGCTACTCCCTTTTAGCCCTTTCGCTGTAGTGTAAGGCCCGGTCTGCAATGAGCGGTTAGTCGTTGGTTAAAAGTCGGAACTGTGTGTCAAGCCTTTTTCCTTCTGGGTGAAAGGTAAAAGGTCCGGCACACCCAAGTCGAAATTTTGGTACTATTTTGACACCTTTGAGGATAATTTACACCTACGTGGACCAGCGATAACCTGCTTCGATGACATTATATTTTTTTTACTCCTCCCTTGAATCTTTAATTCTCAAAATTTACAAATTTACTTTCCTACTTAAAAGGACCTGCTTTAATGCTAAATTGGCAAGAGTAGAAATTTCCGACGCTATCGGTTTTTAAGTAAAGAGTAAATTTTCTACTTACAGTTCGACCTCTTTTTACTGTCTTAGGTTCTACTATACAGAGTGTCTCCAATAGTGCTCCAATTATGGAAAGTGTGTATGTAAATTTTGTGTTACGATACACAAAAATGTTCAATAATTGAAACACTATTGCAATATTTCCTGAGACTAAATCAAGTATAAAAGTCCTGTACTACTTTTCCCTCCGATAAACAGTTATCGAGCTAATTGAAACGTTTATCATGAGCTAATTGAAAAAGTTATAAATTTTCTCTTGAATATCTAAAAAAGTATTAGGCAAATAAAACGTGTTTCGGACAAAAGTTGTTCTTATTAATTAGTATAATAAACAATCGACCTCTTTTACTGTCTTAGGTCCTGCTATACAATAGAATTAAAGGTTCAACACGGGGCCAAAATTTCGACTCGGAGTACAGTCCCGACTTCTGACCAAGGGTGACGTCCCATGACGCGTATCGGGCGTATCGACTCCACGGCCAATCACAGGGTCATCCTGATAGAACCGTTTCAATAATTCCGCCGAGATGGGTTCTGTGATTGGCGATACGCAGGTTACGCTTACGCAAGTTGCGCTCCATGTGACGCCATCCTATCGACTTACAACTCGTTGTAAGCTGCGTTCGGAAACGCCACTCGAGTGCCCCAGTGTATCATCTTATCCTTGTTTACCATCCGGTGAGCAAAACAGATAAAATGATACGCTAGGGCACTCGGGTGATGTTTCCGAACGCAGCCCTAGACCGAGTCTAAGATGCAGAATTGGCCCAACCTTCGCCAAAATTCCGGAGATGAGAAAGAACCGCAGTACCGACAAGTAGTTATTAGGCTAAACTCCATGAAAAATTGGAGGAAATCTTGCGCTCGGGCTAACCAGATCGTTAATCGCGGGAGATCGCGCGCCGTCAATATCGGCCGATCTGCCTGCAGCGATCTCGATTCTCTCCCAAATCCCC